AGCATTTCCTAAGGTGTAAAACTTCAATGAAGTTCTATACAGTACTTGAGATGACATATAGGGTGGATTGGTGTTATATAGCTAAAATGAATTAGATTGACGATGCTCCATAGATTCTTTGTGGTCATGAGACGCGCTGATAGTACTTGAGATGACATATAGGGTGGATTGGTGTTATATAGCTAAAATGAATTAGATGACAATGCTCCATAGATTCTTTGTGGTCATGAGACGCGCTGATTTGTCTGGCTTCTCAGGTACATTATAGAATTGAAGGAATCTGAATCAGAAAACTTTCTTGATAAGTGGTGTTTTACACGTTAGACAAATTTGTTTTTGTAATGAGGGGCTAGAAGTAAACAAGCAAACATACAGTTAATACAAATAAACACAAGAATATAAAACATAGAATGAACAAATGCAAGCAGTTTGTCACATGTTCAACGGGTAGAGCTTGTCCTGCAGCAGGAAATGGTACTAAATGATGGAGGATGGTATGAAGGCAGAGATGAAGTCCACAAACAGGATTCTGGCTTGGTTCCTGAGGAGTCCAGGTGCTGCAGGATGTAGTGAAGGCCCACTCAATGGACTTTATTGGTTTCCTGTAAACTATTGTCAGTGAGCAAAGCATTGATAGGTTTTAACTGTTAGCATGCAGTTAAAGATGCAGCTGCTTAAGAAGAGAAAAGAATCTGGTGTTTACGTTCTTTCAGACTGGTGTCTTTGGACTTCATAAAACACAGAGGATGGACACCATTTTACTAACTTTTGTCTGATACTGAACATTTCACAACCATTTTCAAGCAACGTGGATTCTGTACTTTTCCAACTATCCAAACTCTTGTCTTGCAAAAGATGTAAAAATTTGAATTCAGCTGAAATATAAAAGGTTAGACCACTGAGCAACAGTGCCCTCCAGTTTCTCCATGTCCCCGGATACGTCTGTATGAGGTGGATCTTAAAGCTAGCGAGAAGTTATGCACAGTATTTCGTACGTTTTGGACGTTTTTCCTCAAAAAAAAAACAGATCAGTGCGCATGCGCAGCCAGACAGACGAAAAAAACAGATCTGCGGACGGACGTAAAACTGGGAAAAACAGTGCAATAATTACTTCTTGATGTCTCGAACTAGTATGCTTGCTGTTTTGTATCTTAGGGTTAGGGTCAGGGTTAGGGTTAATTGTATGTTAAATTCTATGTTATTGAATGGTGCGTAAGATGCGCATGCGCAAGGTTATCTTGTCTCGAGGCAAGACGTAAAAATATGACGAAATACGACGAAAAAAACGTCAAAAACGTACGAAATTACTGTGCATCACTGGACATTGCCTCATTTGTATTTAAGGCTGCTGTCATCCCTTTACCCTATTTTATACAACACTTTTTTCATCCACATAACTTTAAATTTAAAGGTTATTCTAAAAAAAAAAAACTTAATACGGCATTACTGTACCTTTTTTTTTTTTGGGCCAGTCACATCATATATAATGTAGAACCATTACACACAGAGTGACATATTTTAGAGTTTTGTTTGTTGTCGTTTTTAACATTTAGTGCTAAAAATGTGAGAACACTGAAAGGTTATTTATCAGGTGCGGTACCCTAATCCAGTGTTTCCTCTATTTACTTTTTTTTTTTACCCTTTGTGCATTTTTTCTTACCATGAGTACTCCTCTCAGTCAAAAGCATTTATTGTCCAAAAAGAGGAACGTACAATAACCGATTATAAAACAAATACTATTGCACTTAATCTTTTAATTTGAGCATTTCATTCTCTGGCATTTTATTCTTTCCATCTCAACTAAAAAACAAACATATTGCCTGGAAGTTAGAAAGGAATGGAAATAAATACAAAATAAACATATTATAAACCTCTATTTATAAAACTGGAGCTTCTCTGAGTAATTTCCCTATAATGACATGTAGACTTGATGAACGTTTTAATTTGTTTTCATCAACATACATGAGCTGCTCTGATGAGCTCCGATATTTCCGTAAGGAAAACAGCTGATATCAGGCTGTTCTCTACTTCCAGGGTGTCAAAGCTGAAGTTGAACAAAAACATATTAGAAAAATTACTTTTTGGTTGATAAAAGGTTTTTTTTTTTTAATTGGGTCCTCACAACCCAGCCCTATTTTATTTTACTACCTAAGAAATAAAATATTTTTATGTAGTCCTTGCAACGCACTAAGGGACCACTAGGGGTTCACATACACCAGGTTGGGAATCACTGCTAATCAATTAATTAGCTCAGACCGCCTGCAAAGGTTGCCTTTAAATGGTCTCGCACTCTAGGTCAGAAAATGGTCGTTGAAACCCTTACCAAAGGAGGGTGAGCCACTAAAGGTCATTGCTGAAGAATTCTTTAGGATTCTGTATCCAACCAGAAAATTGAGTGGAGGGAAAAAATGTGGCAGGAAAAGGCGCTTCAGTAAGGGAGAGAACTGCAGAGGATTGTTAGGTGAAATCATTGAATAATCTGTGAGCCTCTCAAGGAGCGGACTGAGATGGAGTCAGTGCATCAAGAGCCACCACACAAATTCTAGACAGCATCTTAAATGGGCAAAGGAGAAAAAGAAATGAACTGCTGCTCAATGGTCCAAAGTCCTGTTTTTACATTAAACCAACTATTGCATATCATTTAGAGATCGAGGTTTCCAGAGTTTGAAGGAAAAATTGAAACACACTGAATCCATGTTGCTGGAAGTTCAGTGTGACGTTTCCAACGTTATAGATGGTTTGTTTGTTGTGGCATCTGCTACTGCTACTGTACTGGACTGCTATCTTTTCTAAAGTCCACAGTCGGTGCAGCCATCCACCAGGAAATTCTAGACGACTTCCTGCTTCCCTCTGCAGAAAAACTGATTTTATTTTCCCTAAATATCGTTCAATAACCATGGTTATCATAACCTGAAACCCACATAAATAATCTATGGACTTTTGTCAAGAAGATCCAACAGATTACACGAAGGCAGCTATAATAAGAGAAATCTGGGCTTCCGATACATCTAAACTTTGCCACTGATCACGTCTAAATCAAGGTCTAAACAATTCAATTCGATTCAGTTTATTCAAATAGTGCCAATTCACAACATACTGTATGTCATCTCAAGGTACTTTACAAGACAATTCAACCAGATCATATAGTCAAACTGATTCAGTTTTCTGTCTAAGGAAAACCACCTGATTGCATCGAGTCAAACTCAATCTGACTAAAAGGCAATCCCTCAGGCCAAGCATGCTTGTAGCAACAGTGGAGAGGAAAAACTCCCTTATAACAGGAAGAAACTCCCAGCGGCCATCTGCCCAGACCGACTGGGGTTCAAGGAGACAGAAGCAGAGATACAAAAGGCAACTGTAAACCAGCTCCACAGGCAGTCCCATCCAGGAAACACAGCCAGGCAAATGAGCTCCGAGCCAACTCCCATGTCAGAGGATGAAGAGAGCACATCCAGCCAGTCACAGTCAGAGAAACAGGACTACACTGAAAAACAGGCCAATCTCCATCATCTATAAACAAAGGTGTTGATGGCAACAGCACAGCTGACATTTATCTCCAGGAGAGAAAAATCAGCTGTAGATAGATGTTAATTTTTTCCAGGATGGTGTCACAGCCAAACAGGAACAGACTATGAGAAAGTCTTAGTTTTAAGGTTATGCTTTAAAGTAAACAGGGAGTCTGCCTAACAGACTAAAACTGGTAGTTGGTTCCACAGTAGAGGAGGCCTGATAACTAAAAGATCTGCCTCGTATTCTACTTTTAGAGGTTCTAGGAGCCACTAGTAAACCTGCAGATTGAGAACGAAGTTCTCTGTTAGGAGCATAACAATCAGATCTCTGATATCAGATGGAGCTTGGCAATTTAAGGTTTTATATGTGAGAAGGAGGATTTCAATTCTATTCCTGATGTAACAGGAAGCCAATGAAGAGAAGCTATGATAGAAGATATATGATCTCCCTCTCTGGCTGCCGCATTTCAGATCAGCTGGAGGATTTTAACTAGTTTGTTGACTTCCTGATAGTAAAGAATTAGAATATTTCAGCCCTAATCAAATGCATTGAATAGTTTCTCAGCATCACTCCTGGACAGGATATTTGTATTTTCTTTGCAATGTTTCACAGACGAAAGTAGGAAATTCTAGAAACCTCTTTGATATGGGATTTAAATGACAGGTCCTGATCAAAAATAACATCATAATAATAAAGTGTTATCATCTGATAATTTTATCAGATGATAACACAAGTACTGAGTGCATAGAACTGGAAATTATTTCAGACCAAATCCTTTTAATTGGTGTGAGGTTCTAATGTTGTGCTTTCTATCCCTAAGTACTAGATAAAGCTTGACATACTTTACCCTGTAGTGAATCTCCAGTACCATTTTCACCTTCTGAAAAACGGTTTAGCTTGTTACACAAGCTTCAAAACTGACCTTTTTTTGAGCAGATTGAATTTCTGGAGCATCACATTTGTGGGGTTAATTAAACGATCAAAATGGCCGGAAAAAGATAACTTTTATCTGAAACTCGACAGTCTATTCTTGTTCTTAGAAATGAAGGCTATTATGCGATAAATTGCTAAGAAATTGAAGATTTCCTACAACGGTGTGTAGTACTCCCTTCAGAGGACAGCACAAACAGGCTCTAACCAGAGTAGAAAAAGAAGTGGGAGGCCGCGTTGCACAACTGAGCAAGAAAACCAGACATTTGCAGCTAGAAGTCATTTACCACATTAGCAATGTATAGTGTATTTCTTTAAAGTTAAGACTAGTTTAAAGTTATCTTCATTGAAAAGTACACTGCTTTTCCTTAAAAAATAAGGACATTTCAATGTGACCCCAAACTTTTGAATGGTAGTTTATATATATATTTCTTTTCATTCGTGTTACTTACGGTAATTTCAATAGCTATCCAATGGTCACTACAATGATTTGCAGCCATGCAAACTGGGATTTTTTTTGTTTTTTTTTACTGGGGGGCGTAAATCACAAAAGACAAAACTTGGAGGGGATTGAACATTTATTTTTACCCTTATTAAAAGTTACAATTAAACCATTAACATCTTCAAACAATAGCAAAATAAAGAAAACCGTACATGTTTGCCAAAACATATTTACAGAGACAGTTTGCAGATAAAAAGCTCACATTTGTACACAACCCCAACCCCCACTGCATCATAAACTCTGAAATGTGAACACTGCTTGAATGTGGTTTTAGCCAAAAAAAAAAAAAAAAGGAAAAAAAAAGACTAAGACATCTCTTTTCCAAACTCCCCTCCTGGATTATCACTTTTCTATACATGACAAAATACTTGGAATTCGAGGGGGATAAAGCGTAGGAATGTAAAATCTAAAAATTAATAAGATCATTTGAAAGATTCATGTGTCCATATAACAGTCTTTGAGTGAGAGAGATGGTCTGCTCCGGCTCAGCAAAGAGTGGAAAAAAATCTTTAGATCCCAAGACCAAGAAAGAAATTGATTTTATAGGGCTGCCACGCTGCTAAAAATAATAAAAGATTTTTTTTTCTCCATGAATTGGGAATATAAGTCAGTATTCCTGATTTGCTCAGCGCCCAAGCCATTACAGTCACCACACACCGGCCCCTGTGTGTACCATAAGGGGGAGGGTGGAGACGCAAGCCGACGCGTTCATCATGAGAGGGCCCGGTGAGTTTCCGTCTGTCGAAGAACTAATAAAAGGCAGTGAACTGGTGGTTTAATCAGCAAATGTGATATATCCTTTTTTGTCTTCTTTTGTAGTTTTGTTTATAACTTTTGAGAACGTGGCACAAGTCTCTCATATATATATATTTTTTTTATATACTTTAATCTTGGAAAATCAGTTCGGGTGCAGTCACTCTGCCTTGGCCTCACCCTCAGAGGCTGCAGGTGTTGTGCTCTCAGCAGCGGCGGCGGCGGCAGCCTCCTCGGCAGGAGCATCCTCTGTTGGTGGGGCCTCTTCAGCAGCCTTGACCTCACCCTCAGCTGCAGGGGAAGCAACCGCCTCCCCTTCTTTGGCCTCTACAGCCGGCGTCTCCTCTTTGGTTTCCTTGGCTGTGTGGCCATTTTCCTCGGGCTTGTCCTCGGTCGTGGGAGACGTGGCCTCCTCCTTGCCTTCCTCGCTTCCCTTTTTGTTCTTCTTTAGTGAGATGCCTTTGAATTTGAAGGAGTTCTTCAGGGAGAACTTCTTCTTCTTCTTGCCATCTTTGCCAGCCTCTGCCTCTGCCTTGGAAGCTTCACCCTCAGCAACTGGAGCAGGCTCAATGGCGTCCCCAGCGTTGGCTTCGCCCTCCTTGGCTGGTTCAGCGGTTCCATTCCCATCGGCGGCGACTACTTCCCCATCAGGTTTGTCTGAAACATCACCATTGGTCTTCACATGGCCATTCTCCTACAGGAAAAAAATATCATTAGTCATAAAACCAGAAATTAAACTAATAAATTGTTCAAATATTATATTTTTTGATTAGTGTAAGAAAAGAGAGAGATTTAAACGGGACACTATAGATATCAAGAGCTGCTTCTGGTGTTAATGACGGCACAGCTCTAAGCGGCCACAGGGGGGCAGCAGTGCGTCACGAAAACGTCAACATGGATTTTAAGTTTGGGAACAAAGGAATTCCCATCAATCCTGGTGCTGTTCTCATCAAGGGCTGATTCTACATTGTGCGCTCCGAGCGCAGCCAGGTATCACAATTAAAACCGTATTTTTTAATAATAAATATCCTAAAAGATACAGGATAGGTGGCAGTATAACCGGAAAACCTTTAAATATAAGGAATATAATCTAGCGCACTATTAATCATAAACCAACAGTGCCTCTGATAAAGTTTTTAAATCAAACTATAGCTAAAAGAAGCAGGCTTCAGGCGTTTTTTAAAGTGCGCGGCTTTGGGGGAAGCCAGGTTTCATCTGGCGCCTCTTCGCGCTTTGTTTGCAGGTCCGCAAAATGCGCCTCCAGCAGCAGAGCGCATTTGCATCCTTTGCACCGTTGCGCCTCACATCCTTTGTTCGACGCTAAAAGCCACAATCTTCCCCCCAAACCGCCAGATCATGAGAGAGAACTGGCTGCTAAAGAACATTTCGACAGGAATCTGAGACATTTAAGGCAGTTTTCTGGTTGAACCCCCCCCCTCAGACTAACAGACGGATTTAACAAAGACCTGGGTGCGCGCTAAGCGGGGACGCGCGGGACGCGCTTTGCTGCTCCTCAGTTTTGATTAACAATTTCACATTGGGTTGTTAATTTTATTTGATTTTTTCCCCCAGAAGCATATCTGATGTCAGGGGTTTTGGTTTAAAGCGGCTCTGAGCGTCACCCTGGCACCCATGCTGCCAGTGGGCGTTGGGTTGCCATGTGGCTCCCCGCTGATGCCCCTACATTGGGGGCCTCTTCCCTTACCTGGCCGTTGGCTTTGGCAGCAGCAGGGTCAGCGGCGGCTTTCCCCTCCACCTCCACTCCACCCTTGGACAACTGGGCTCCCATTGTCTTTTTCCTTCACAACAAAATAAATGAAAAAGAAACTCGGAAAAGAAAAAACCCAAGGAGGTTTATTAATAATAAAAAAAAAAATCCAACTCCGGGATGGGTAAAGAGGTCAGAGGCGGTGAATATATCCGATGGGATCTTCTTTTTTTTTCTCCTATGGAAGCAAAAAAAGCCTCACCCTGCTTGTTGAATGAGAAGCCAAGAGCGGCTGAGCGCAAAGTAAAGGATGGCAGGCAGGGAGGCAGGCTGTGGGTTTTTCAACCGCGCCTCAGAAATCGACCAGGGTCTCCTCCTCTGGGCGGGGCATCTGGCGCCGACCAATCAGCTGCGAGAGGAGGGACCCACTCGCAGCTGCTCCCCTACAGGACCTGGATTTCTTCAGCCTGCTGAAGATATTAGGAACTCCTAAATGTTTTCAAAATGGATTAAAATAATTGGGAATATTTTATATCAAATTAATCCTTTATAAAGCACTCAGTGAAATATTTTGAAAATCAAAAAGTCAAGCCAATAGTGTTATTGGAATCAAGGACAACACATTTTTTATTTTATTTTTTATTTTAAAAATATGGATATTTTGATTGCAAAAATGTAATAACAAGAAATGCAAACTTGCCCGTATATAAAGAGAAAATTAATAAAAGTGATTCTACAAGAAATTCATGAAAGATGAATTCATGAGTGAAGGCAATATTTTTTTGGTACAACATAACTTTAGAGGCATTAATGCTGATACTGGCACTTACATTATTTAGTTTATATACCTCAATGTAATTATTAACTAGCCTTACTAACTTTTGAACTTTACTTTTGAACTTTTCAATTAGCTTTTTACCTTTTTTTCTTAACTTGTTAACTTTTTTTTCAACTTCATTTTTAGTTGATAATAAATAATTCAAGGGCTCATCTGTAGCAGTATCTTTGTTGAATAGCTGGATATAGATCTTGTGCTTCTTACTGAGGGACGGAGGGGACTCCGTTTGTAAGATAGGGCAAGTAGCTCTCCCTATAAAGAGTCAAGATTGAATATTTAAAATGCAATCTTTGTAATATTCTTTGGGATCACTGTTCTTTAGCCTCTTACACATAATACTGGTGTATCTCAATAAATAAGATTATCATTGAAAATTAAATTGATGTTGGTAATTTAACTTAAATGGCATTTAATCACAGTACACAAGGGGTGATATATTTCAATAGTTGTTTTTTCTACTAATAAGGTGATTATACTTTATAGCTAAATCTTTTTCTGAGGGATTCAATTTGGGTCTATAGGACCAATGAAAACAAACATTTAATCATGGAATAATATGATTCACACAATCAGTGGCTGTTGCTCGCCAAAGAAAGCTGTTCACTAACTACTGTATGGGTAAATTTGGTGGAAGGAGAAAGTAAGAGGTAACTGAACAGCCTTAAAGAGGGATGAAAAGAAAAACCTACTAGAGGAAAATAAGGCGTGGACAGCAACTGGAGTCAGTACTTTAATGACATGCATGCAGGACATGAGCTACAACTGTTGCATTTCTTGTGTTAAGCCACTCCTTAACCAGAGATAATTTTCTCTAAGCTTTAGAGAAAGAGGTTCCTTAACTCATCACAACCACCATAGGCCGTCCCCTCCACGCCATGCTGCACGGAGGCAGGCGTAGCCACCACCATATACATGGATATGAACGTTTTCAGTAGGCTGACGGTAGAGTATTAAGGGATACATTTTTCACTTTTATTAGTTATTTGAATTATTAGATTTTTTCGCCTTTATTGTAGTAAAACAAATACTCAACATTTTCAGGAGAGAATTACTTACAATGCTTCGCTAGATTCGAAGTGACGTCACCGACTTTCTAATAGTACCCTGATTACATAACATCTAACGCTTGGTGGAGAGCTGTTGAAGGCACTGGGATAGTTCAGACTGTCAGTAGCAGGGTATCATCAGACAGGCATACACTGTTTCATATTTTTGACCTCCATTTTGGGAGCCATAATAGGATTGAAATTTCTCATCACAACATGCTTTTTTAGTCTAAAAAGCTTGTCAATCTCCACTTTGTTGCAAATACCCAAGAGTCTCCAACAAAAAACAATTGTAAATTCACAAAATTATGCCACTTTTCCTTTCAAGACATAATGATTACCTCTTTCTTCCAGTTTTTTATTTTATTTTAATTGTTTTTTACATCCTATTTACTGCATCTCTTGCCTCTTGGGGCTTGCTTGCACTGAAGTGACAGCACTCACATCTTTACACCACACGCTCACATCACCATGTCACAGCTATGGTATGTGAGGCATGCGAAGCCACCCAAAGAACAGTCTCCAGCCCATTCAATGGTTGAATATACCCGGAGGGCTTTAGATTTGATGCCCCCCCCCCAAAACACCAGCACTCCACACATTCCCCCCAAATGGAGTCAGTAAAGAAGAGAACATGATACATTTCTGAAGCCTGAATCTCACCATCTCCAGCCTTGTTTGAAATTCTTTGGGGGCTTTAGATGTGGAGAGACTCCAGAGAGGTGGGTACATTAAAGTGCTCTGATTTTCAAAGATTGATCCCAGTAAAAGTGAGACGTCCAAGCCCTTGCCTTTAGGCTACTTTTACAAAGCTGCTATGATACTTTGATTAATCCAAATTCTTTGATTAGCCCGAGTTTAATGTCCAACAACATGTGCATTAATGAGAGATGGAGGAAGATATTAAGCCGTCATTAACCGAAAGCCATCAGTAAGCCTTCAACAGCTATGTTGAAGAAACCTCTTTTAAATGAGTTATAAACTATGTGGATCAGTAAATGAGCTTACATTTTCAAATGAACTGAGCAACCTTAAGAGCTATTCAAACCCTGTTTTATTCATGTCAGTATACTTATCTAAACAATACACGTTTCACCAATTTGACATTTATTGGACAGAGAAAAAGGTGCTTCACTGTTCGTCAATGTTCTTGTTATGAAGGAAAAAATCTTAACTTCTAGTGCCGAATTAAAGATTATTGTGCCATTTATTTATACAGTTGTAACTGAACACTGGGACTTTATTCCATCCATCCATTTTCTTCTGCTTTATCTAGCCGGTTCGCGGAGGCAGAGGTCTAAAGGCTGATTTATACTTTGAAACCAGGTCGTCTGCGTGTGTGTCGTGGTGAACACAGAGACATCCCCACCCCCTCCACAGACACTCTGCTGCACCACTCCCAATTTGTACAGTGCCGCAAACAGGAGGCCTTTGATCAATCAAATCTACATCTCTACTCATGCTTATTTCCTGTTTGGTACTTTACCTTCTGTAAACCGACTTGTGAAGTTGGACCAGCTAGAAGAGCGAGGTGCGCAAGAACGCTGGGACCCTTTCTCCAACTTGATCCCCAGATATTTTTCGCCCTCATTTTCCCTCTTTTGTCGCACAAACTTCCCCTACTTTCTCACCTCCTCGGCCGAATCTAGACCCACAGGTAGTTCATGATTGTCCCTCTTGCGTTGTGTCATGGAATAACATAGCGCAGACCCAAGGCGACACCAGGCCAGCTCAGAAACATAGTCCTTGCAGCGTGTCCTGGTCCTTCCACAAGGCATCCTCCCAATAGGACATGCCTGGAACCGCTCCTGAGGGAGGCGAGCAGGAGGCATCTGGAACAGATGCCTGAGCCTCCTCAGCTGGCTCCTTTCGATGTGGAGGAGTAACAATGCTACTCCTTACTCCTCCCGGGTAACTGAGCTCCTCACCCGATCTCGTTGGGTATGCCCAGCCACCCTGCGTAGGAAACTCATTTCTGACGCCTGTATTTGTGATCTTGTCCTTTGGGTCATTACCCAGATGTCATGACCATAGGTGAGGGTGGGTATGTAGATTTACCGGTAAATCGAGAGCTTTGCTCCCGGACTCAGCTCCCTCTTCACCACGACAATCTGATACAGCAACCGCATCACTGCCAGCGCCGCACCGATCGGTCTATCTATCTCACCCTTCATCTGTCCCTCAGTCGTGAACAAGACCCTGAGATACTTGAACTCCTCCACTTGAGACAAGGACTCTCCATCGACCTGAAGAGAGAAGTCCACCTTTCTCCGGTGGAAAACCATGGCCTCAGATTTGGAAACCTGACACCCTCCAGTCAGGGAATGTCCAGGGTGCAGTCTGGCTGTACCTAGAAATTCTAAGCTCCTAATGCGGTCATACTCCCCCCCCAACTCATTATTCCTCCTGAATACAAGGTTTGCCTATTGGCCGGATCCTCCTCTCCAGCACCCTGGAGTAGACTTTACTGGTTTAGTCCTGGTTATACTCCTGCTTTACGCAGACATTTTTGATTTATGCTCAATTTTGAAGCGTGGTCTGTGCTATACGGTGTGGGTCTAGATACGGCCGAGGCGATGAGGAAGTGGGGGCGAGTTTAGTTCAACAACGGAGGGACATGAGGACAAAAAATAGCGGGGGTCCAAATGGAAAAAGGGTCCCAGCGTTTTCCCGCACCTCGATCTTCTAGCTGGTCAAACTTCACGGGTTGTTTTCTGGAATTTCAGTCATAGAAACACCTCCTGCTGGCCTCCTGTCTGCAGCACTGTCTGGGAGAGGTGCAGCGTAGTGTCTGTGGAGGGGGCGGGGACGTCTTTTTGTTCACTGCGACGTCGATGCAGAGGACCTGGTTTCGAAGTATAAATCAGCCTTAAGGGCTGTGATCCCTCTTGTAATCAAGCAAAACATTTTTAACTAAAGTTTACTGTTTTAGCTAATTCAGAGGATTATTCTCTTTAAACTTCTTTCTTACAT